TTGACTTTTCCATGATTCCTGAAGCACATCCAAGTGAACATTGCCTTCGCCTTAAGCCTCGCCTCGCCGTTTTTTTGCTTCTAAGGAGCTCTTCGAAGAAGGCCTCCAAGGCCTGTTAGAGTGTGAGCGGCTGATGCCAACCCCAAGCAGGACCCGAGTAACATGTATATATAATATATAAACCAAACATGAACAAGACATTATATATATGATATATATATATATATATGTACTTACATGACACTGCAAGTCAAGCATAGGGCTTTGGTCACATTGGATTCAGTTGATCCTTTCTTGAGGTGATTCTGCACAGAATTGGCCTGGAGACATGATGTGTAGACGTGCAGTGTTTTGTTTGGAGGCAGCCTACCAGAGGATCCAGTCCATGATGTCAGGCAGGGACCACGACTCTCCTGGGTGCGCAACAAACTGCCACGGTGGGTACTATATACTCCGGCTACGCACCGATGAGCCCCGTCCAAGATTTTTGGTCTTCCTCAGGTGCAAACAGCCCACGACACTCCACAATCTACTGCAATGTTGGTGTTCATGTTTGTTGAATGTGGAGTGATAGAAATCCAAGATGCTTGCCCAGCCAGCCTGGGAGCTTGATAAGAGGGGCCCAACTTCCATCAGTGGTTGGAAACACCTGAGCTGTGACAGCATAGCTGGCTGGAGACGGCTGGAGACAGCGCATGGGTCGGGTCAAGCCTTTTGGGTCGAGCCAATTGACGTCATGTGTCATCATGGATCTTTGAGGGGCTGGAGGCGGCTAAACGTGTAGTTAGTTGCTGGTGTTCATTGAGGTGCCTAAGGACCGCCAAAGTGCTAAAGAACATCAATCAACCTGGCTCTTCCAAGTGACCTTTTGCATCCTTTTTCTCTGGTTGAGGTCACAAAAGGGCCTGGTCACAAAAGGCTCACGTGCGGTCACTTAAGACTCTAAAGTGGGTGACGAACTGCTGGAATCTTTCACTACCACAGACTTGCATGGAGCCCAAAACATGTTGTTTTTGTCCCAGCCAATGCGTTTGATCGAAGCATCCAATCGCTTCGGGTTCGGGCCAGTGGCCGCCAGTGGCCCCGAGCCTGCTTTTTGGTTGGGGGGGTGCTGACGTTTGACGCAGATGTGTACTCTTCATTGACGTCCCAAAAACTCGGGCTTGAACAACCTCTTCATATAGGGGGTTATTCATCAAGAGTTTGCATGATATAAATCATTCAGGACCCCATATCGGTGCTGTCATGCAATTCTGCCGAACTCCTTTGGGATGCCCAAGCTAGCTTGCAACAAGCTGCTGGAGACAATGCTGACGAGGTGGACGAGGTGGACATTCCATGAGCATCATGTTAGGCTTATCTTAACTCGGAACGAGATGGGCGGTGTTAGAACGAAGCACGGGTGTCTTTGGTGTTTGTGTGTGTGTGTTGTTTGTATTTGTTTGCAAAAAGCATGGTGCTGACTTGTTTTCCCATGCTCGGCCGAGCTGTTGGACGCGTCTCCTCCCTTAGTCCTCTCCCTCGCAGGTGAGGAGGGCGATGAAGTGGGGAGCCTTTCCCGGGGGGGCAAGCTCCGAGTGGGGGCTCAAGCACCGAAAGGTACGTCGCGATGGTCGAACCTCGAGGGAAGAATTCCATGAGCAAGTAGGAACCTCAGATGAGGTGGGAACACCCACTTATGTACACTTATCATAGCTGTTTTTGAGCCAGTTGGCAGGAGATCCTCCTGTTGTTTCTTGGTAGCGCAGGAAATCATCAACATGATCTTTCGCCCTGGGTTTGCAAGACCATTGAAAGAACGGTTGACATGGTTTTGTAGAAACCCTTGGTAAAACAATGGTTGTTTGGGAAAGGCCTCTAAATCCGCCGTTGGAATCCTAGGATACAGATATATAGGCGTGAATGGATATCTCGGGTGGTACAGGCAAATGTTGATTGGTCAACTCCGAAGATGGAGACCAGGTCCACCTTTTTGGATGACCATTTAGATAGGTCCGTTGATAGGACCCTTGTCCAGCACCGTACTGGCCACCGGAATTCTTCGCTGAATGTTTTGGGCTTCGCTGAAATCGACGAATTCACAAGGAAGTGGAGAGACTTTTGACATTTCACTGGACTTTAACGTCAACCTGGTCAACAGCGCGCCTCGAGTCCATGCTATGCCGCTCACATTTGGGACCTTTGACAAAGAAAACAATAAAACACAGGCTGAGGCAGCCATTTTAGCGCGCCTGCTCGTGAACAGGGGTCACCTTTGTGAGCTGTCCTAAGGTCCTTACCATGGTGGCGAGCTCAGGGGGGGCTGATGATCGAAGATCGGGATGGGGAAGCATGGTTTGAAGCAGCTGCTTCCAGCCAGCACAGTACCAGACCCCGCAAGATCTGCAAGTACTACTTGCAACTCGGGGGGATTTCCTTTGCTTCGTTTGGCGGACACAGACGGAGCCCTCGGCCTCTCTCCGAGCTCTCTTGGCTCTCTCGGCCTCCCTTGGCTCCGAGGTGGACCGGGCCTCAGGCAGCCATGAGGCACGCAAGGTCTCGGAGCTCAGAAGCGAGCTTTGAGGCCTGTGGGGCGGGTGTGGAGCATGGCGTTGCTCAGGTGGTTTTGTTTTTTTTGGCGTGTTTGGCGGTCTATCCGGGCACTGGAGGGTTGGTGCTTTGTGTTGTTTGTTGCGGAGTGGCTTTCACTGGAAGGTTTTGGGGGGTGGTCGAAAGGTGCCAAAGTGGCTAAGACTAAGAGATGCTAAGCGTGATGTGTTTTTGTGTATTTTTGTGTTAATTTTTATGGCTGCAGTTGCTGATCCTGATGCAGAGAGCACCTGGGAATTTGTCAGCCACCCAGGTATTTCACCAGAAGATGCCACGAATTGTTTGAGCAGGAGTTCAACTATGAGTTTTCAGTGGGATGGTTCAGTACCTTCACTTTTGATTTGGGGGGGATGGGTGGGTTCCAAGCGGATGTCCTGTCTAAGGACGGAGGCGAACACGGGAGGCATTGATGGTTGATTCTTTTCCGCCCGTGTTAGCAGCCAAAGCTCCTTGAAGTGCAAGTCTGGCAGGGTATTGGATATCTATGTTATTTACAACAACTATATACAGTAGCAGTAGATATAAAATTTGTTGTATAATGTTTTAAATGAATCTATTAAGGACCTAAGGTATCCTAAGGTCATTGTTCTCCAATCTCAGGCTTATGCGATCTTCCAGGTGCTTTCGTGCGCACCGGCTGATGCCCAACTTGCAGATGCTACCCAGAGAGATCACCGAAACCCAATTGGAAGGATGGGCACGCATGAGACTCATGCGGTTCTTGCCGCATGATACTCATGTGTTTGGACCACTTGTTGCTGACATCACAGTTGTACTGTAGGTAGCTGTTTTGACTACTGTTACTCTTCCTTGCGCCAGGGGATGTGCTGCATGAGCACCTGCGATAGATTTTGACCTCGGCGGATGCCGTTATAGGTGTCAAAGCTCACAGAAGCTGTGCTTTGGCAGTGTCTCCATGTTTGCTGGACAGTGGTGCACCATTACCAAACAATTGAACAGTTTTCCATCCAGGAAGATCTTCACCATTCTTCACTTAATCATGCACGATGCTACTAGTAGCTCCTGGCCTTACTACTATAGGAACAAGAAGCGACCAAGAGCATTTTGGGCATCGCTACGAACGGAGCGATCGGACGCTACTAGGGGCTCCTGGCGTCGCTACTAGAAACAATAAGCTATTAGTAGCGCCTGGCGTTACTACTACTAACAAGAAGCTAGTAGTAGCAAGAAGCTTCAACTTCTACTGGTGTTTGTGTGTGCCGGTCCGCCAATCGTAGGAGCCATGAGGGGCCCAACAGATGCTTTTTCGCTCACTTCGCGTCAATTCTTAGCACTCCGAAAGTAAATTCTCAATGGTCACAATCATGTTGTAGCAATGTGTTTAATCCTGATTACTTTTAACTTTAACCATGTTCGTATGAAGTGCACTAGGTGTTCTTTCCTCTTTCGGTTCCATCATTTGGCACTTCAAAAATGCACTTCAAGTCTTCCGAGAAGGCCTTTTGAAGGAGACAGGCGGAGCTCAACCCGCTGAAGAAGGGTCTGCAGTTTCGTCCGTTTTGGGGTTTCCATTTGGGGTGTCTATTTTTATAGGAAGACCCTTTGGCCCATGTAAGGTGTATTTCCCGAACCTTTTGAGGGGATCGGAACGCCTGGGGTTCGGTCTCCCTATGGATTAAAATACACACCCACCCATCTCAGGTTCCAATTAATGTTGATAAGAAAGGGCCCACAATCGACCCATTGCATGACTCTGGAAACAATCGTGGCATGTGGCACAAAAATCACAGCCATAAGCGACGTCTCAACCATGTGCTTCACGTCGCTGCCCAGAATTCCTTTTGCGAAGCCATATATGACTGATGACTCTGACGAGGTAAAAGAATAGAACGCAGGCAACCCACATGAACCCAGCATGGTAGTACAGAGATAGCTATCATAGAATATTATTACAGTATATAGATGCTATTAGGCTATAGGGGTTTGACCCTCGAGTCCTGATCGCAACCTGTTTCGACTCACGAGGTCGTTGTTCGAGTCGCTGGGCCCTTCGTGGAGTTCGCGCAAAAAGTGGCGGAGTTACGTTCGTGCAGGTGGCGTGCAGTTTTCGTTCGGGTCCTACTCCCGGTGATGCATTGTGATGCATCAGCGTGTGCAAAGTGAACACTTTCAGTATGTTTTCAGTGCTGTAATTCTGGGGATTGCTCCACATTCGAACGACTCCAGGATGATTCTAGAAACTCCAGAGGAGCCAAATCCACATTCATGAGGTGGCTCCAGTCGCGAATCATGCCGAATGACCATGGGAGCCAAGTCGTTACAGAGATGCCGCTTTTCTACCTTGGGACGGACAGGGGGGAACTCACGAAATCCACCATTTTCTTCTCTACGATGAAGAATTATTAAATGTAATCTTTGATTTAGCGTAGAAACCAACTTCTGAAGCCAAAGCCAGACAAAGCTAGACAGCGATTTGCCGTGCCAAAGCCGCCGTGCAAGAGCTATGTATTTGCAGCAGATCTCATGACGGAGGCCTGCAGACCCAGAGTCCAGTCACTACAGGTGCCCCCCCCGAACCCAAAGCAGCTACGAGCTTTTTGCCTGTCCCCTCCTGACCCACCCCTACCAGATTTGCTGAACAACTGGAACATGCTAGAACCACATTGTGGGTTATTGATTTGGAGCCTTTCAGATTAGTTACACACATCATGTCACCCCAAAAAGAACACCTCAATTCACTAAATGTCTTTTCTTTCGCGGCCAACAGCAAAAGCTAGCAAAAAGGGAAAGGAACAAAAGAGAGCTCTTAAATAATTAAAGCTCTTGCGTTATGATTATGTTCTTAGGGGGGTTCAGGCTTTTTGGAGCTTTCAGCTTCAGACCATTTGACGTCCCAGCTCCACTTCCCCTTCTCTCCCTCAGATCTTCCGCGTGGCCTATGGCCTGCCCATCGCTGGGGAACCTCAGCCGATCTCGCGAGCTCAGCCGTGGAACGCCCGGTAACATGGCACCAGTTCAGCCAAGACTGGACTGGAGAGTGATCTACAAGGTTTCTACCTGACCATACTGAGCGGTATTCGATGAAAATTGGGTGCTGGTGGTTCTTGGGTGTTTGTTTTTCTCATGCAAGGCAGGCGTAGGGGTGTGAGATGATGGAGGAAGCCAACGATGAATTGCACCTCCGTGCTTCACCTGCCGTCAGCGGGCCCCTTGAGGTCGGTGGATTTCCACCGGAGAGAGGGAGAGAGAGAGAGAGAGAGACGGAGAATGGTTATTTAGAGGCGGAACTTCCCGGGTAAGAGGCGGAACTTCCCGGGTAAGAGGCGGAATTCCCAGGTCATGATTTTTTTTTGCATAGCCTTTAATGAAGTCGACAGGTTGCCGCTTTCAGGCTCGTCTCTAATCAAAAAGGGGAAATGGCGTATCAGCTTCCGTCCCGTGTCTTTTCGAGTTCGACCCTGATGGCTGGCTTGACGTTAGTGAAAGAAGAGAAAGATGTGGACAAACTTGATGGTGACGATGCAACCCTGATGTCATGGCTCCAACAACCGCAGGTGGGGCTGTTCGTTTCTATAGGTATTGCTACTCACCTCTAGTCAGTGTTTTGGTCTGAACATTTCCTGGCTAAACATTTTAGCCGTGTTTTCTGCCGGTTGCAGGCGCTCAGGTTGCAAATCCAGCAACTGCCTACTCCTATGAACTCTGCCTTGAAAGACATCCAAACGCCAAACACCTCGGAGAGTTACGCCGGGCCTGATGATGAAGCTCAAACGGCTGGTTTGGGTTTGGACGCAGTTGCTAGCAAGCATGATGAAACTCTGTTTGCTTGGGTTTGACCGATACTATTTTACCACCAAAAATGACAAAATTACCTTCTACCAGAAAAACACGAGAGGCAGTTTTTGATCTAAGCGGCAAATCTTGAATGGAGAGGCTAACATTTGAGCCTCTTTGCTAAGAGGCTGAGAAAAGCAACCACCGGAGGTTTAAGGTATACATGATTTCAACCTGTCACTTTGCGAAGCACTTGTCGCCCTTCACCACTTGCTGCGCTGACATGCAGCTTGAGGTCGGATGTATGTTTTTCTATGGCGTCGTGAGCTCAGCTGTTTCAAGTTCACATAGAGCCGGCATAAATCATGTGGATGCGTTGTTTCAATCATATCGTTCTAAGATTTGGGGATATTTCACATGTTATCTTCAGATGCTGCATCATTCCTTTGAACTGTGGGCCCTGGGCCCTGGAAATGCAAGAATCAGCCAGCAGGGACTCTGGCAGCTCCAGAGACCGATCTTTTTGCTTCGACGTCGCCGGGCGTCGCCGGGCCTCAGGTTCAGTTCGTTCCGGCAAAGCTCCGGAGCACCTACAACGGCGCCGTTCCTTGGGCCGTTCCCACGCGCGGAAGAAGTACGTAGCTGGGTGCCAGGAGTAGCTGGGTTTCAAGCGGAAGATCCCACTTGTCGCGTTTCGGTGGTGCTTTGAACAAACATGTCTCTAGTGCCAGACGACTCAACTTACTCCATGTTGCTTAGGCAGAAGTTTCAACCAGTGCGCGACTCAATTTGTCGATGGAATGGTCCAGGTATTTGCTATCATTTTGATGCGTGCATCATCGAATAACCCAACTAGAACTCAAGATCCAACAGACTTAACGGACTCAACTTTCCAACAAAGTGGTGGTTTCCTGTACAGGTCCCCTGCATTTAGAAGGGAGGTCTGTTTGTTCGGGTAGTTTTTGTTGCTTTTGGGCTTTGTTAGGGTATTTTGGTCGGATCTGCCCTTTTGTTGCTTTTCTGGCGTTCATTTCTTCTCTATGATTTGTCATGTTGTTTTGTGTTTGTTGCTTTGTTTTTGGTGTTTGTTTTACTTTTGCTGTTTCATTGTTTCTTGGTGGTAGCTCCTGCCTTTCTTGCTATTCCTGCTATTGTTGTGCTTGTTTTGGCTCACGCCCCCCTAACGGCCCCGGAGAATTTCCACGTTTTCACCATCAACCAAGTTGATACTACGCTGGGGATGGGGTGGTGTGGGGATGGGGTGGGGTCTGTTAACGTTCGCTTGCGCTTGCAAACCAAGTTGATGCTACGTTGGGGATGGGGTGGTGTCTGTTAACGTTCGCGTGCACTTGCAAACCAAGTTGATACTACGCCGGGGATGGGGTGTAACGTTCGCTTGCACTTGCAAGCCAAGTTGATGCTACCAAGTTCATACTACGTTGGGGATCGGGGGGGTGTTAACGTTCGCTTGCACTAGCAAACCAAGTTGATATTCCCAGTGGTGGTTAAGAACGGTCTGACCCCTGATAACCCATCATGTAAATCCGAATGACTGCACCCCGTTATGTTCCACGCAGTTGGTGGCGTATCCAAACCTTGTTTTGAAGCGCTTGCACCAAATAGTTTTTGAAGCCCCATTATTGAGTTCTCAAGATTGAGGAAGCTGTCCTCGCCTTGACTTTGTTGATTCTCTTGCATCTGACACGCCAGTCCTTGCCTCCTGTGTTGTCATCATGGCTTCAATATGATGTGCAGTACTTGGATCACTTGCATGAAGTGATGTCTGCACAATGTTCAGCCTTGAGGCAGAACATCACGTATGATGTGGGGCTAGAGTCTGCACAAGCTATCATGACTAGTGTGCATGATTTTGACGGACTGAGAAGATCCATAGGTCTTGGGGATCAGTGGAATCGATTCTTGCGCCGTACGCGCATCCAAGAATATATGTATAGCTTTGCGTGGCGCTGTAATACACCGTCGAAGCACCAACTGCAGAAGTTGGGTCAGATGGCACAGAAGGAGTGGAACGCGTGAAAAGGAGTGGCACGCCTGAGGGAGTGGAAGTGTGTTAAGGGTTCATGAAAAAAAAGAATAAAGATCCGTTTTTTTAAAACTTCCGGGTCCCCGAACGCACTGTCATTTCACAATGGAGTTACGATTTCAGGGGCGTTTTGTGGTGTAAAAACACATCCAAAATGACATTGGCCTAAAAAAGGCATCGCCATAAAGTGCCAGAGGGGTTGTGAAAAACGACTCGAAGATGCATGTGAGAACGCGCAAATCGCGCTGGGCCGTTGGGCGACCTTGTTTTGCTTTCTTTACTTTTATTGCGTGCCTGTGGTATCTCCTGTGTTTCTTTACTTTCCTGCTTCTTGTCCGTTTGTGGTGTACTGTTTCCCTGTGTTCATTGATGTTGCTTTCTGAGGCTTTCTTTCTAGTTGTTTTTCATGCCTTGAGTTTGTGTTGCTTTATTTTTTGTTAGCTTTCTATACTTGTCCTACACTTCTTGTTTGTTTTCTGCTCTAGTGTTTCTTTTTGTTTCACCTTAAAGGACAACCCAAGTGCATCCTATGAACACCTTGCAGCCGGAGTTTTGGTTGTTTTTGCTTGTGGTCCAGTTGGTTGGCATTGTTTGCACACAGGCCCCAGGTGCCCTGAAATAATCATGGTCATGGACAGTGGCCTCATGGACAGTGATTTCTTCTACAGATAGCTAGCCTTCCGCTTGGATGACTATATATAGAGAAACCACGACCGCAAAAAAGTCCCCAAACGAAATGCAAAAACAAACATCAGACAAAACCACACCCATTTAGAAGTCCCACCCCCAGATTGTTTTTTCCATTCGGTGCAGCAATGTTCTACATGTTACATGTTGTTCAACCGTTTTCGTAAAGCAAACCATAAGGTTCAGCCGACTCTCGGGGTCCGAGTATAGCAGTCATTGGCATGGGTAACCATATAGACGTTGGTCATACCGAAAGGTTTGGAGCCAGAAATTGATCATGCTGAGGTCTTCCAATGGTTTATGTCTTCAGGGGGCCTCTTTGTCGCCCTGATCCTGGGCGCTGGAGCCCCAGAATGGGCACCTGAACATCCCCAAAGCCAGAGAGTTCCCCAACAAAGTACTTACTGTAACTTTATTTCTCAGTGTCATGCACTCAGGTCGTTTGATCGAAACATACCAAAAACAATCAAAATATATACTGTGTATTGTACTGTGTTCATATATATATATATCTATATATGCAACAGTCAGTAAACAATTATTACTATGTTTGAAGAAAGGCCTGCAATTGAACCATCATCATCCATGACCAGGCATTCGGATAGACCCGACGCACAGTATGTATTTGCCGGTGGAACCTGTAGAACGAGCCAAGTTCGTTCCCGGGAGCTCCGCCACGTGGTGGCGAGTGGCGGGTGGCGCTGAGGTGTTGAGGGTTGTAGGTCCATCATCTCCGATTCAGTAATGAACACACACCAAAAACATCCTTTGTTTCTCAATTGACTATACTGTATATATATATATATATCTACACAATTTAAAGAATACTCATGAATCTTCTATTGTGTTGTGTCGCTGATGGATCGAAAGATTGAGCTGGGAGGTTCCAAGGTTCCACCTCCAAGCCGATCCAACAGAATGAGGATAAAGACCATGTCTCGCCGAGCATCAAACGGGGGGTAGACGAACAACACACATCACTGCAGGGCAAACGAAAGGACCTTACAGATTGTCCTCCGAGTTGTTGCGGGTGAGTCCTTCAAGATCTATGATTTGTCTCACCTTATGGCATTCCACGACTATCTGGGCCTTACACTCGTCGATATTTGGAGATACTTCTCCACCCACCAGCTCTTCTGAAGAAATCAATCCAATCCAAGTCGATTCCGTTCCAAGATCCTCATGGGATTGCCAGCCTTCCAGATTTCCCAAGATTCAAAACAATTCTGATTCCAGTAGCCTCAGTAGCGTCTTGGAGGACATGGAGCGGAATTGAGTTTTTTCAGTTCCAGCCAAGTTCCAGTCATGTCCAGTCGATTCCGATGTTCCAGCCGTCACGGTCCTGGAGCTAAGGAACTCCTGTCGGATGAAGTGCCTGGTGGGCATTATGCTGCCTGGGCACCTGACTCGATGGGGTCAACTTGGCTTGGGCTTTGGGGGCGTCGTGGTTTTGAAGATCCCAGCAGCAGCAAAGTTTTGAGTTTGGACTCCCAAGGTTTGCAAGATGGTTGACACTCTATGCTCAAAGACATCCGTTGTGGGTGGTGAACGGTAAAGATGCCCACAGTATATATATATTATATAGTTACTGATGTGGTAATAATGCCTGTACGGGACAGTCACCAAAACCACGGTCACTCATTAACATTTGCTTTTCTTAAATGTGCGGTGTTGTCCTCTTCACAATTGAGCGAGCAAGAGAAATATCAGTGAATAGAGAGCAAAAATCAGTAATCCAAAACTGCTCGAACTTGTGCTGTCTGACATTTTGCCACTCTATCACCTCCAGGATAGATTGTAAAGCACTGCTTTGTCCAGCTTCGGGATGGACTGCAAAACCTGTTTTCACTTTAGGACACTGAAGGCATGTCCAGGCATCTCCAACTTTGCAATGCTTGCCTCGAATAGGCATGGTACTCGTAGGGTACTAGCAGGGTTGGAGGGAGAAAGCAGATAGCTCAAGACACTGAGCTAATTTCGACCATTTTCAGACTCCAAAGATCCCCGTGAACTATCCACCCAAAGTTCCATGGATTTGGATGGTTTCTCTTCTGTTTCTCTCATCCAGTGAGTGGATCAAAGGGCTGCTGCTATGGTCTTTTTTAGCACGAAAAAGCCTCCCCCAAGCTCCAAGCTCCGCTGCGGCCAAGCTCCGCACCTTGCCCTGTCAGGGCCTTTTGGGCGGTGCCCTTGTGGCGGTGCAGGGGGCCTCAGATGGCGAAATGAAGCCACACACAACACCAAAGCCACTGGCGGCAAAATGCATCAATTTAACCAATCCATGAATCAAACACTTCAACACCTCAATACACCCCAGAGGATGAACAGCCTTATAGCCCATCCCATATGTACCACTACAGGGTCCTAGTTCAGGTCTCTCAACCTCTTGGCCGCGCTCCGACCCAAGTGGTCGCAGCCAAGCGACCCCGGTTTTGATGTGTCGATGGTGGAGGTGAACCCTGAAACCGGTGAGGAAGCATTTGGGAGCATGAGTCGTGAGGAAGCATGTGGTGGTTGATGTCAATCGCAGTGGTTGGTGTCAATCATTGGATTGGATGATGAATATTGATGATGTAATGTTTTTTTTGTTGTTCCGATTCTGCACCCTATGTCACATTCTTGTCTTGTGTGGTTGATTGAAGAAACCCAAACGCAACCACCAGCTGAACCAGCTGAACCGTGCGAACCCACAGCGAAGTGGGAGCCGATTTGAGGGGGAAGGCAGGAACCGAACACTCGGCTTTTCATGGAGGAAACCACCTTGAATTCGAGTTTGCAGATTCAAGGCCGGCCATCCCTGGGCCATGGCTGCAGATGGTTTAGGACGCAATGAAGCCAGAACATTGGAGCACCCTATCACTATCAGGTTGACGTGCAAATAACCTTGAGGTGTTGTGTTTGGTTGACGTGGAACCTCGAAAATCACTGAGGCATGAGAACCCTCATCTTTTCCCCGAGAGCTTTTTCAGGTGGGACATACGTTTTTCATAGGTGTTTGTTTCTCTAGGTAGGTGGGGACCTTGGTGTTGTCATGCCAACCTTCTTCCTTCGCCGCGCCAACGGGAGGTCCAACGGGATCATCTTGCACTTGAAGCGCCGCCTTGGCCTCTTCACCAGTGCCGGACACACCTAGAGTGGAGAGGGGAAGAGGCTATGAAGATGAGAGGGCAACCGGGAAGTCGCTGGGGAGATATCTCTAGTGAGATGATTACATATGTTCTAGGACAGGTATCCGGATCTCAGCCATCTACTACTTGATCACCACAGCAAAAAGGGTATGCGATTTGGGTTTATTGTCACCCTTTGTGTGTGTTTTTTATGTTTGAGGCCATGCACACCAACAGGCCAACCATTCATTCGCTTCTAAATCGCATGGCGGATCATCGTTTCCAATGGATCATCGTTTCCAATGATGTGACGACCCGGGACGAGCCCGGCCAGGGGCCGATGTTGGGGCACCCGGCTTGCCCCGGCCCATCTCTGTCCTTTGAACCCAGTGATTGGCCAGTGATGGCAAGTTGGATCGATGCTGGGAACATGCAGTGGATGGTCGGAGATCGATATCGCTTGGAGTCGATGGGTTGCTTGTGACGAGGCGATTTGGAGTGTGAGTTCAGTGCACATCTCTTGGGTTTTGAGTGCAGTGCACGCGGAGTGCCGATTCATGGGCGCTCATGGGGACGTTCAGTTGTGCTTCTGAGGAAGAAGGAACATCAACCGAATCCGTTGCTGTGGGGTGTTCACGTCAAGTGTTGGTTTAAGCATGTTGAAGCAATCCCAGGCAAACCACTATGTAAGGAACCAGGGATTCTAGGGCTATTGGTTTAGTCTTTGGAGTATTTTGCAATCAGTGGTTACCTGCTATAGTGGTAACTGGATGCCCTGGGAATATTTATTATATAATATGCAGTTTTGTTCAGAAGCGGTGTTCGATGCCTAACACCTGCATTGACTGTGGCCGAAGCTGGTGGCTGTAGAAGCTGTTGGGGTTTCTGATGCCACATGTTCGTCCAAGAAGCGCGTCGAATCTAAAGCCTGTTTCACCTGATATCACTTGAAGCATCGAAGCAGACACCTATATGGATGTGCTGTGCATTGGACATGCGAAGACCCCCTAGTTCGACCTCTGGGAAATTAAAAACAACAGACAAAATCCATTGGTTGGCAGGTCCCCATATATAAAATACGAACCTGCATACAGTGACTATCTCTAGACTCTAGACCACCAACCCGTCTCACAGACCTGCCCGTCTTCTCGAGGTGGTCTTGTATCAGGCGGCCAACCTGATCACAGGCGCCGGCAGTGGCGTTGGAAAAAAAAGGCGAACACCAACAGTGGCAGGAAGAACGGATTCATCACCTTGGCAGGGAGTAAATGACATGTTCCTGGGGGGGCAGCATTTGGGTATACCTGCGAGCTCTCTTCCGGCAACAGAGCGCTGGAACGACTTGTGCAGGTTGTTTTCTCTCGGGTTATGGGATCAAGATGGTACTTGTCTATTGATATAGAGTTTTGTATATAGATATAAAGTATAAATGGGTATGTTGTTGAACATCATTTGAGGGAACCAAAGGAACCAAAGCAGGAACACAGAGGGAACCGTTCTTTCAGGCTACTGCGTCGGCCGCTTTGGGCTCTTCAATGTGCCGCCGGACCCAGGACGACGAGTCCTCGGGGAACCCGATTCGGGGAACCCGCGGAGACGTCTCCGGCTCTGAACGGGGCGGAGGTTTTTGTCGCTCGGGCTCTGAATCCGTCAGAGCTGCTATGACATAGTGCTAGACTCCGCAGAGAGAGAGAGAGGTCAAGAGGAAAGTGGCCGAGTTTCCGCCTTGAGACTTTTGATGGGATGTTGGGGGTCATACAAAATCAATCATTGCTGCGGGGTGGATGTTATTTTTTGTTCCGACAGGCGATTGTATTGCGGGAAGTGGGCCGCTGAACTGCAGCCAGTCGAATCGGCCAAATTCGCGATGAAGGTGATGTTGAAATAAGGTCTCAAGTTGCCCCAGCTTTCACAACACATCATGCCTAGAAGTCCAGTTCGACTATATTTGGCACCACCACAGTACAGAAGTTCCTAGACTAGACTCAGGTTATACTACTTATCAAACATAATCAGACCATTTTCAAAAAGGTCGACATTGTTGGTGACAGGTGATCCACGGCCCATGTTGCTCCCTCCCGATCTCGAGCACGGCGGAGGACGCTGGCCCTATCTCCGCGATGTGGGTGTGGCAGGGAGTCCCCAGATGTCAGGTCACGACGAGGGCACGTCGCTTCGTGCCACTGCATGTTTGTTGCTCAAAACCGCTCAAAACACGGGTTTGCTCTCGTTGTTTCATGCCCGCGGCTTGCGACCAACAATCTAAACTGGGTGTGGTTAACCACGTTGTGTTTTTGTTCATTTTATATGACTCATTGAAAGAAACACCTCTGACCATCTCTGACCTATAATATTGTAACCCGTTTTAAGACCATCTTTTGGATGACATGAACGTGGTCGACCTCTATTCTCGGTAGCAATGGGGATCGTCTTTCTTTCTTCGGCTTCTCCGGGTGGACTCAGGCAAGAGATAAACACCTTGCTTTGATGATGGAAATGGAATGAAATGGAGAAAAAAACAGGGGAGACCATGAAAGAACTACTAATGGTGATCCTGTTGAAGAGTCCTTTCGGGGGGCTATGCCATCCACGTCACGCTTCTGAGTTGAGTTGAGCGCTAGACATCGGTCTGGCCCGATGGGTTCCACAGTTTCACAGGTCGGCCTTGGTCGGTTCGAACGTGAACGTGAGGCTCTGCTCCTGGCGTCCTTACGGCTTTTGTCCGGCTCTCAGGAGCCTTCTGAAACGAAGAGGTGCATCAGGGCCCACGAGACCAGCAACCCCACCCACGCTGAGGAGTATAGAATATGAACATGTGAACAACACATTGCCTTTTGGCTGGTTTTGCAGACGAAAAGGCAGAACATGTTTCACAGGTACAGGTACAAGATGGTACAAGGCTCCCATCATCTCCAATCTCGTTTGTGAGGTCAGTACGTCCCACCACGGACAAGCCAGTGGAACGGGTGCGGGCCATGTGTGGCACCCAAGTGCGATGCGCGCTCTGCGATGCTGCGCCGATGGTTTTGCACCAGTGACTTCAGCCGACCATTCCAGGAACCCCAAAAGACCAGCCAAAGATCGAACTGTACCTTCAACAGGTCAGCTGAGCCTTCTGGAGCTTCAAACATACCGAGCAGCCATTTTCCGCGCAAGAAAACGTGCTCTGGGCCCTCCGGCATGGGCCCTGTTCCGTCCACCTTGTCTGGGATCGAAGGTCGGTGCTGTCGGACCCTTTGGTGGAGGTCACTGCCGAGGACGCCCCGTCCCGGCCCGGGGAACGGAGTGATCGAAGATGGAAGTGGAAGCCGGCATGTTTTTTGCATTGTATGCCTTTTAAACATGGTTGTTGCCTGCAACAAACAAGATATGATAAGATATGCTTATGCTATTTATATAATCTTTGGTTGTTGTTCTTTTGGGGGGGCCAACGGTGATCAACGGTGCATACTCACGTCATGCGGAAAGCCACGGACCTGCGTGACCTTGCACGAAGCTTCGATTGTCAACAATTACGAATCCAGATGATCATTAATAAACAATTCTTGCCACCTTTGCAGGGAGTCTTTGACTGTGACGGTTGATACATGTTGATAATTTTGCTGAAAACGGCTCCAACGTATCCAAATATGCCTCACGAGGCCGATCGCTTGGCCAAAAGCATCACCCAGTGGTCCTTTCATGTCCTTTCGTTTTGACCTTCTGATCTTTCTGGCCATCTCTGGCCGACTCTGTGATCGACTGGACACTCTCATTGGTCCTTTCATGTCCTTCCTTCCCCTGTTCCTGAACCCGTTTGTTCGGTCAAATGTGTCGATGATCGCAGCATTTGATCGCAGTGTGTGTTCTATGATTCAACTTCTTACTTCCCAAAGCACTATTTTGCTCACCACCTTGCCCCTGGAAATGGCGATCCTTTCTTCAAAGTGATCCGATCATCCATTTCAAGTGGACAAGAAAGACGAAGAAGGTGGGTGACTCCTAAGCTTCGTAGGACCTGGCCAGACGAGCTGAAACCTGGTGCTTTTCTGCACGCAGGGCCTTTTTCAGGTCCCAAGCCGAGCATGTTCAGGTCCCAAGCTTTCAAACGATGTGTCAAACCGTTTCGCTCTGTCAGGACTTCGAGGGCTGCGATCCGGAGACCATTTCGCTCCTCGGTCTCGAGTCCGTTCGTCAACGCCTCGGGTCGGGCTTTTCTTTGGGCGAACGTCAGCACCCGTTTAGAGTGTAAAATTGAATTTACTGATCAATCATGATACATCAATGAACTGAAAGTGGCACAGAATTATAGAATTGAAACTACAAGAAGATCGTCGCAGCCCCCGACACCATGTCTGTGCCAGATGGAGATTTGCAATCTCAACGGCAACCCTGTTGGGCAAACCCTCCAATTGGTGCTGCATGAGCTTCAACTACGGTGTTGGTGCCCTTCCAAGGGTCTTTTCGATCCACTTCCAACGATAGGGGAGGACAGCAGCTGCCCAGCTGACTGTCCTCATCAATAAGTTTGCCACACAGACAGTTCCCTGGAGCATGAAGAAAACTTCAAACTCATCCTGACACTGGTAAGGTGCATTTGACTTCTAATGGACACTTCCTGCTTATCTAAGGGAACCTGACAAACGAGTTGCCTCACCAACGAATTGTGCGCCAACTCATCCTCTCAGCTGGGCAACAGTCGCAGTCAGTTCACCAGGATACCAACCGGTTGACCTCGAACGCAGGGTCGTTTGCTAGATGGACCGGTCAGGCTCCAGGTTTTGGCCCGCGCGAAAGGCCGAGGCAACGGGCCATCATGAACCATCATCCACTGGGCCCTGGCGGCCCTTGGCGGCCCTGGTCATGGACAATGCCCCCACCTCCAACATCCATCAGCTGTGACCATGCAAGGCTGGTGATTCAAGAAACGGATCCTGACGATCTCTTCCTCAACGTCCAGGAGTTGAGGCCGATGCTTTGGGTGCGACGTCCGTCAAGGTACTGGGAGAATGGTCCCAAGCTGCTCCCTCCCCCAAAGGAATTCTCTTGAGAATGGTTTGGAGGCACAACCCGGCACTGGGCACACCAATTCGCGGAAGGGGGGCAAAGCCTTAGCTCCCCCAATCTTCACACCACCTTCGCTTCCAGATTTGTACGAACTAAGAGCTGATCTAAGGGTGCGACATGACTCGGAGGTGGAGCCCAAAACATCCATACAGCTCGTGGCGATGGCAATGTGAATTATGGTATCAACAACCTTAATGCGATAGTATCGAAGCTCTTCTTGTGGAACATACCTTTTCATATGGGGGGGGTTGTTCATCAAGAGTCTACAGATGTTACCCACTGAGCATCGATTCGTTTAATTAGAAGAGTGCTTTCTGGAGATCCGAAAACAACATGAAAAACCCTGACGTGAGAACTGAGAAGTTCTCTTGTTTTTCAGAAGTCTGACTTATAACAACTTATATAACCATTTGAACCTGCAAGACGCACCAGTGGGTGAAAACGGCGCACCTGCACGACCGGCATCAACCGGCAATTGCGTGGTTTCACAGGTCTTCGGAGAATCAGCCAGGCGGAGGGAGCGGTTGTGGCACAGACCTGTTCAGGAAGAAAGTTGGAAATCAATCAACATCAGGAAGTGAACATCGATATGTTAAAACATTATAGTGAAGGACGGTCACTTAGAACATGTTTTGGATTTGTTTGCTGAGAGGTTCCAAGTGTAACGCTTACAACAATGGAAGCTACACTTAGAACGCAAAACTTACACTTGGAACAACACACTTAGAACAACATAAATGGCCCCAATAAGAATGTTCAAGATTCAAGGGTCTGTCCGTTTGTATATGCATACGTATAATAATGCACTTGCTGTATCAGGAAGGTTAGCAATTTTCACTTTTGTTTGTCGCAACATCCACAAATATGAGTCTATAGTGGATTCTGGTTTGCATGGGGCCCGATTCAATGCACGGCTGACCTCACTGGAATTAAAAAGAGTTCAGCCTACTTGCATTGTTCCAAGTGTGTGGCAGGGCAGGGCGGTGTGTGAAAAGTCACGGGATTTGCTAGCTTTCATGTTTTATTCCTTATCGTGTTCTAAGTGTTGGTTCTGGAATGTTCTAAGCGCAGCACTGAGAACAAACAATCTCTTGATATTCTGACGCTATTGAAGGTGCGTTCGGCCTTTTCAGTGTTTGAAACAATGGTTGTTCTAAGTGATTGTCCATCGCTATAGCTACCACACACCATGTTGGAGGGCCTCCCTTGTTTAATGCACACACAGGTTAACCAGGGGTAACTCTCCACAGGCCCTCCCGAGGCTCCGCCCTTTACGCGACCAAGCCATGGCTTGGACGAAGAGAGTACTGGATCCAAACAGTGTTGGGCGAGGTTTGGAGCAAGCTATGCCACCGTGACCTACCCCCCCAGAAAACAATCTAAGTATTATATGTTCTTGTGAGCCTGTGTATGTTTCTTTTGGTTCCCTGGACTCAATTGAAGCAACATGAAGCAACCTGCCTGTTTGCCAGCTTGGAAACTGGCAGACGGGTGGTGCGCCCGTTTGATGCACGTGTCATGCTTTTTCAAGAAGGATTTTTTTGAGACCTTTGACTGGATCAGAAGTGGCCTGCCCTGGGAATTGTGTCATTTAGTCATTCTCAAATAATTCTCTATTTGGTGGCCTGTTGATTGCCATGACTTCCAGATGGCTTCTACACACAGCCGCTACATCCCTTGCAACGCAAGGGCAAAGTCAGATGATTGTCGAGAGTTTAAACATGTGTGAGGGTAAAGCAATCTTATATTGACATAATTAGACTACCAGCTTCCAGCAAGGTCTCTAGCAGATACGGCGTACTTGCCCTGTGTCAAAGCAAGAGGATGAAGTTAGACCACTTAATTAAATCAGCTTTGTTGGGGTATGCAGACGATGTGATGTCAGGCGCAGGGCTTAGTCCGCATGTTCTGTCCTTTCGTGTGTTGGTGTGGGGGACAGCGACCACGCCCAGATCTACAGAGGGCCATCAGCGACCGGATCATGCGCAGGCCGTGGGGGTTCAACCGACCGACGGAGACGGAGACCCCGTCTTGCGCTGGCTGAATGGATGTGTCGACTAAGCAACACGATTCGTGTCGATCTTCATCCTAAAGCTGACTTGCGGGGATGTTTTTTTGATTGTGTGAAGCCTTTAGTGGAGACAAGTGGAATTCATCAAAGGGGGTGCTGGCGTGCATGCGATGGGCCGTGTAGACATTGAAGTGCTTCAAAAACTTCTGCGGGCCGCCGTTTTCGGCACCCGGCACGTACGGCCGGTGCTGAAAACGGACGGCACCCGACACGTCACCCAGGCCCCTCATTCCCTGTTGATTCATCCCTTTGTCAATGAAGCTGACAACCCAGAGAGAGAGATAGAGAGAGAGAGGTAGAACGAGGGAGGGAGGAAGGGAGAGGGAGAGGAGAGGGAGGTGGATACATTTTCATAGATGAGGCAGACTGCTCAGCCACTTGTTGCTCAGGCGATCAGAGGCATCACAGGCGAGTGATTGGGAGAAGCGTGCAGCTGGAGGGTTGGCGATTCCCATTGCCAAGCTCATGCAGATGTGTGTGTGGGCCTTTTGTTGAAGTGGTGGCAGGTTCACAACTCTGATTGGACAATAGTTTGTGAACAGTTTAGGGTACATTCCAGCTTCCAGCTTGTATGCTGGTTTTCATACTGGGCATTTGTGGCTCATGATCGTGAAAATGTTATCTAATATATTTTGCTTGACTTGGCATTTGATCTTCCTTCGTGTCGGGGCCTTTTAGGTCGCTATTACCTTGAGACATTGCTTGTTACACAAGAAAGCATGCATACACCCGGAGCCAGAATTTTCGCCCTGGGGCCGCATGTCATGTACCACAGACCAGGGTCCGAACGTGAAGTGGTCTCTCAATCTCGTAAGAGACAGGCATTCTCCAAGGCCATGGCCCCGTCCATGGCCCGCTGGGTTGGGAGGGTCGGTCGAGACCATGTGTTTTCCTTTCGTCCCGATCTTGATCGGAGCGCGGTGAACCGTGTCACCGTAGAGTTGGAGGTCGCATCCGATAGATGGATTCATTGCTTGCTACCCGGTCAGTGTGTTGCAGGTGATCCCAACCTGTCCGACAGCACAGCAGGTTTAAAGATTGGGGACTAGACCCTGACTAGACCAGGTGTGAAGGGTATCATGAAAGGACGAGCGTGGCATGGACACAAAAGCCTTGCTTGCACCACCATCCTTCCAAATCGGTGTCGCTGCGGGACGGGTGAAGAATAGCAGCGCTGTCCACGGGTCCATCTCCGATTTTAGGCAGCGCTGCTCTTCGGGGTGGATGAAGAGGAGGCACCCGGTCGTGCGGTCGTGGCAGGTTCTCTTGCATTCGGGGAATGGCTGCATCAGTGGAGGCTTGCGCTCAAAAACCACCTCCTCTCCGAGAGCCAGAACACAATAGAAACAAAGGGTATAATATGGGTATAGATATGGGTAGTTGTAGATGGCCTCCATGACTAAAGCCTTGTGAACTGCCTGAGCCAGGCCGCCTGCCGGAATCCCCAAGTCCTGCACCTAATTGAACCTTTCGGGAGCGGAACAAGACGTTTGTGGTGAAGCGATGTATTGGATGAAAGAAGCGTCCCTTACCAGCCAGGATAGGAAAAGCCTCGCAGACGTTGGGGGCTTCCAGGTGCTGCAAAATGTGTTTCACTTCAACTACTCTTCCGTATCATCGTATCATGCGTTATTGCTTTGAAGGTTCAACGATACACATGTCAACAGTGTGACTTGATGCATGTTGATGCGTGTATGACATGCTTCTTTTATGTTATACAATATAGTTAACCGTATTATAGTTGTTGTTAATGTTTGGCCAATGTAATGCCCAAACATTGCATTTGCTAACAACATAACTCAAATATTGCTGTATGTTCACAACAAATCTGATATTTTGTAATTTCAACAAACTCAAACAGTAAATGTACGAACTTAAATCCTTAATTTGTTTTGGTAGTGTTGTTTGTTGTTTATGAATTATTGTTTAATTAAACTGTTTTGTTAACTCAAGGGGAATAAGCACAAATGTCCATTTAGGCTGTTTGCTACCTTGATTGCAAAATATACGTTCTTTGTGTGTTGACTTTTGGTTTAGCATAATTAGCCAGATTCCCCCATTCCTGGGTGGTTTTCTACTCTCCCCCGTTGGGAAGAGGATGGGGAAGAGGAGATGGGATCCCACCCGTGGTCACCAAGAAGTGGATCCCACCAAGAGGAGAGATCGAGCCGTTCTGACTCGGTCGCACATGTATGCCGCCGTCCGGTTCGACGATTTGCACCGGAGAAGAACGAAAAACAGATCGACTCGGCCAACCAAAACAGTTGACAGGACTCCCAGAGGTATGATGTTGGGACGAAAGCCCAAACGCCCGGTGTTTTCAAGCGCGATGTGTGGAAGATGTCTACCTTCAACCTAGTCGGGAAGAGTCGAAGCTGATGGCATGAACCTTTGGAAAACGATTGTCCTCTACAACCCAATGGTTTTTCAGGTTTCATTCTTCCAGGATGGTTCCTTCCGCTTGATTCGACCTTCACCTGTAGGCTGGCCCTGGCCCTTCCCGGCGAAGGCAGTGCGGAACTGGAGCAGCGAGGTCGTTTTGATGCGATCTTCAAGGATATGAAGTTGTTTTGTGCATCCACTTCTATAGGTTCAACATGAAAACTCATGTGGTCTACACCGTTCTTGTGTCTAACACTACTAACATATACTAACATCAAAGTGGAGACAACCGGGCATTGGAAGACCATTTATTCAACCCCGAACTTGGACTTAGCAAAGTTGCTTTTCGTGTATTGATACTTATTGGCATTGGTAAGTCCAATTTGGTATTGGTAACTAAGTCCAACTTACCAAAGTCCAATATTCATGTACTTGTTCAATTCTTTTGATATTGGTATTGATAACTCACATTGGTTGCTGGCGGCATGTTGCATTAAAAATGCGAGTGGCCCTCCTCTTTCCAATTGGTTGCATGGAGGCTTTGGGCCCGCTTTGGGCCGCTGTGGGCGTTGGGTTTACGTTGAAATCACCTGGTGGTCCTGTCCAAGCGAACGATGGAACTTTCACCAAAATGGAACTAAGTGCAATGATGTCCAATAGATTCTTGTATCAGGCAGTCAGGCAGCTACATGACTTCATTTATATATATATATATTTCTATGTTTATATCTATATCTATATTTGAGGGTCTATATCAACCACTACTCAACTCACGACGTCAGCCCTGGATTGCCCTGATGTGTTGAAGAAAGCCCAGGTTCGAACTCACCCAGCGGCCAGGAGTTGGCCCCAGCTGGGACATCTCCCTCCAGGTGCAGCGGAAAATGCGCGTTTACGCATGGAGTGAGAGCGGCACCGTTTCATGGAGTGAGAGCTTGGGGGAGTACTTAGATCAGCCTGGCCTGTGCTAATATGTTAAGGTCGTTGTGTATGTTATGTAACCATTGTTGAACTAGCTAAAGGAGTCGTGTAACTAGTTTGCTAGCTGTTTTGGTGAGATCAACGACGCGGAACAAGGCACTCCATTGGGACCCGGTGCACCACTGACCTTTTGAGGGCAGATCCTTTGGTTGGTGGGGTTTTAGAACCCACGGCAGCCCCCCAGCCTACAACCGACTAAGACGGCAAAGAAGGAATCACCCTCGCGAAACGGCAAATCATGGCAACTCAGAGATGTGATCAAAAGGACGATGTATTGTGCCTGGCCGTACAAACGGTAAACCGGGGATCAAATCGGAGTGAAGATGTGGACGCAGCGTGCTGATGATTTGCATGGGTGAAGATGTGAAGGTGTAGGCCACTGTACGATCCATGTTTGGATATACAGGGCGACATGGTCAACCACCCCTAAAAGGTTGAACTCCGAACTTGATATCTAACCAACTTCACATCCACGGCGTGGCGAATGGACACCCTGAATCATCTTCATTCGAGTCTATTCATCGAAAAAAAAAAAACAAAAACATAGCACGGAGGCCACGGACCCAGCACACGGACCTCTTGCGTTGCAAAGCCTTGTGTCCAGACTCGGCGCGTCCTCGCGCGGGAGGCCGACTGGTCGTCGGCCTCCCGCGCGTCTGGACCGAGGGCCAGTGAAGAATAAACTAGATCAGTTACACGGAGATGGGCATTTCCCCCAATGCCGACATATGGGCCACCCGAGCTTACTTTGAGTGTATGACGGGTGATCCAGATCCATTCGGTTACTTTTCGTGCCTGTGTTTGCTCGTGTCAACATCCGTATAATATGGTGTATATAGATATGGTCAGCTTGAGGACCTTTCTTCCTTCTAACACTTTCATTCCACTGGATCATGCTGGATTCCAGCTCCCTTTTCAACAAGCTACAATGTGAGTCATTTCATGGGAGTCATTTCACTGGATTCCAGCTTTCGCTGCCTCTCCAGCTCCCCAACACCGCCAGCATCGCTCCCAGGTCTTCCTCCCGGCTCGCCCAATCCTCCGCGCAGCTCGGCCACTTCCACTCCCTCAGGCGATGTCCGTCTGCCGACGTGGGACCCAGAAAGGCTGACCAGTCCTACCCAGCGAGAAGTGGAAGGTTCTTCCTTTCCCGCCCATTCGGAACCTCCCACCACGTCCGGAACGCGGGTAATTAGATATGTTAGATGCCTGTTACGGGCTTACAAGTGAAAAAAAAAAACAGCCCAACCACCGTCTCGAAACGGAAAGCTTCATTTTCCAAGGGAACGGGGAGTCAGCAGTGGACGACATGCAGTTCATGGCCTGGCACGTTTAGCAGGTTTTGTTGGATTTCTTTAGAAGAGGGTCGCAGTTGTGGTGCTCTAAAATGAGGTGATTGTTGCCACTTCTGTGCCCAGCTAGATTTGGGACATTTTTTGTCACTGCATGATTAGAAGGAACGGGAATCATTGGAGACCGGAGAATATCTTTCAACAAGTAGACACTCAGGCACAACAACACCGCTAGTGCCACTTTAGATAGCAAGCACATGCAAGCACCAACCAGTTCCAAAAACGCAAGTTCCTTACAAGCGGTTCTTGTGCCACAAATGGGTTCCAAACGCTGTGCTTCTCATGGGTTCGGGGTTGAACCGATTGAACCAGTGAGCGCCGAAGCCGTCTGGTGGAACACCATGCCCTGCCAGTGAACCAGCGCCGCAGCTCCCTCCAGACCGTGAATCTCCCGGAGCGGTCGAGCGTACGTGCCGCGTGCGCCGACGCGGGCGCGAGGGGTAGAGGTGGATGCTCGCGCATAGGTGGCACCCCCCTCCTCAACATATGGGGTTTTTCTTACCCCTATCTTACTGTACTTACTTGCTTCTTGTTGACCTCTTCGAGGGGTTTGTGCCATCGATTTGGAAACCACGGCAAGTTGGACCCACAAGCTGAGAAGGACAAGTAAGTCTATGAAGTCTTACGTATTACGTTTGAATAGGTTGGATTCGGGGAAGTCGATGCAGTTTGCTTGGGAGATAGTTGCAGCGCGACACCACGGTGCAGTTCCTCCATTTGTTTATACAGACCCCCAAATAGAGAGAAAAGTAAATCCCCACAAATAATGTATTGGAAACCATGCCACTATCTATTTGGGGACCGCTATAAATAGGTTTGAATTGAAGATCAATGATTAATGACTGACCGTCATGTTCTGACACAAAACTCCGATGCGCTTGCAACTGCCTCCCATACTATCCCGTACTCCAAGATGACTATGGCTCGTATGGCTCAAAAATCGGCCCCCCAACTTCCCCTGGTGACATGACTTTTCGTCCCTTGCGGGTGTGCTGAAGCTATTCCCTACACCTCCAGTCATAGCTCCTCAGAGGGTATGACTGGACTCAGCACCAGCATGCTTGGAGCCCTAGGGATTGATGAGCCACATGCCCAGCCTCTTCACATGTCAGCCTCTCCGCCGAAACAGCTGGACACCGGACAGTCCATGGCATGCCATGCTTGGCGTGGCATGGCAGATGCCACATGAGACTCGATCTTGGGAGAATTGGGGGATGTTGAAGGAATTGAGGACTTCAAAAGACGTTCCACATCTCCCTGCTTGGAGCCATGATTTTTTTCTCACGTGAGAACCCCCCCCCCCAAAAAAAAAAAAAAACATTACTCTTTTTCCACATCTCCCTACTCCAAGTGACACCCAACAGCTGGCTCTCCTTTTGGTCTTTGCTGCAACTCTCCAGGACGTTTGCAGCATGGCTCGGGTGCCCAGTCACCACAACCCGGTGTGCTCAGCGCCGCTGGGCTCGGTTGCAGGTCAAACACCCAAATGGAAGGATGGAGGATCAAACACCAAATTTGGTATTCCAAACTATCAAAGAACATGGTTGACATCCACATCTGAACATGGCCTTGTTTTCCGGACGTTTTAGAAGGATATATGATATATGATCCAAGCCTCCCACCTTTTGAACGCGCAAGGGGGAGTTATGCGATCGTGGAGTAGAGTGGTTCAGTGGTTTTTTCTCTTTGTTTTACGGAGGTAGTAGGTAATGTTTATAATCCTGATGATGTTGCTGTGTTTGTAGGGACCTTGATGTCGTTTCCACCCCTAGCGGTTAGCGGACTACGGTCCGCTGCATCCACGCCTCAAACATCGACTCTTGGCCCCCCCCAAAAAAGCGAATCACCTAGTGTTTGTTTCTTAGGTAGTTTTTTCGGTTTTTGGAGACTCCAATGTTTACTTGGATGTTTACTTGGATGTTCCAAGTATCCAACCTAGTGTTTTTCGTTTTTGGAGACTTGGGGTTGGAGCTGACCTTGCAGTGATCGAACTGGGGCCTGCCGGATTTTCCTTGCCTCAGTGGACCACTTCTTCTTACCTTGTTTCCAGGCCACGTGAGTCACGCCCAGGCTTCTTTGCCGCACACACCGCCCAAGACCTGCTCCATTGTTCTGGGACGCTGTGCGAATGAAGTCAGTGGCTGATGAAGTCGGTGCAAGTGCTTCCTCCAAAAACGATCATGGGCCCTGCCAGCATTTGAAAGCACACGTTTGGAAGATCCTTTGCGAGAGAGCAAGATATTATTTGCAATATCAATATCAAATCTCTAGCAAGTGATTTCACGGTGTTCCGAAAATCTGTTTGTGGGATCGAGTTGTCATTGCAAGCGGTCAACTGGATTCAGTTCTGGCACGGTCAACACCAACGATGTTCGCCGCGACTGCTCGCCGACTGCTCCTGGGACATTGTCCGCTGTTTGCAAATGATATACAGCAGTTTCAGAGTAGATGGCACTGGCACCCCTACATGTCTTTTAGATGGGGGTCCATATAAACCACCTCTTGGGAATTGTACCATCGAACCTCTCAAAACCACTGTTTTTGCCAGGTTTCGTCCACTCCTTCGGGTTGTTTCAGCTCATGATTGGCTCCCAGCTCCAAACCAGACCATTTCGAGGTTGTGAGCGACGTGGCTGATTGGGAAGCACCCACAGAGACACTGAAAAGCCACGACCACATGACCCTTCCCACCTGCCGATTGACACCAAGCAGCCGCCCAACTGGTACTTTCCAGGTAGTACTGTACAAGAGCTAGGGTAGGACGTGTAGAGCGCGGTTTTTCAAGAAGTTGCATGCTCCTGAGAATGTCACCAACCCCGCCATGTGAGATGGCGCCAGTTCGCACTCCGCAGCCAAGGATGGCTTTTAGCCGGCGTGGCCGGAGTTTGTTTGGGGCCCTGGTGTCGGTTAGATTGGGAGGACCCATGAGCCATGTGTCTCGAATCAAATGGTGATGAGTGGTAAACGACATGCTCACCACGCATGTAGTTTTCTTCGGAGCGCTTTGTAACGGATGAAGATGCTTGTAGGGCCCGGACCCTGCAAACGGTACTGTTATCTACTGTTTGTTGTGAGTCGATTATATTGTGTTTTTTCTCGGACCATTGCCTCAGCCCTTTCACTCAGCTTGTGTGATTTCGACTTGGAGGAAAGCATCAAGCTCAGCAACTCTCGCTTTGGCACTTCCATCCTCCATGCAGCATAGTCCAGGTGGAGGTGGAGTAAGTCCACAAGTCACGACACCCAGTCCACAGGTGCAGGTTGGATCGTCAGACCTCGGATCTGACGGGATGAACCGGATCTTCGGGACGCGAGGTTCACACGTGGGACCGTTCTAGAGGTAGAAAGCGGCCGATGTTTCCGGGGAATGGCTTGTGAAGTTGGTTTGGCGATAAGTGTAGGACCTTTTTACGTAGAATTGTCTATGTATATATGTATATATTATATAGTATAATATAGTTAAATAGTATAGCATATATAGATGTATAGAGTATAGCAGAGCTATTATCAGATACTATAGAGAATTGTATCCTGTTATATCCGGCTGGTTTCAACACCATTTGAAGCGGCCTCGCTCCACGGCGCCCCAGGTCGCGGGTTGAATCCCGTGTCCGGAGGCGCAGTTGGACGCAGGGCGATTCGACATCACGACCTGTCAGGAGTGATGATCTAGTTGATACCCTCAAGTGCTACAAGGTAGACTCTTGATTAACAACCCCCCCTCCATTTGAATGCACGGACTTCCTCTGAAGTTTTTGAGGCGGTTAACAATCAAGAGTCTACTCTTTGGGTCTGGAATGGGTGACCCTGTGGGGATGGATGGGCGAAGGTCTAAACAAATGGGTGACCAGATCCCACCAAATGCAGCGCCCGCTAGGTGTCTACTGGCTGGGTTTTGGCTGGTTTGACGGTGAACGGCATGAAGTTTGGTTTCTTCTGAACTCGGGATGAGGCTATAGTCATCTATAGTCCAGACAGACTGCTTCTGGCAGTGCTTGAGTTGGAGAAAAAGACAAAGAAACACTGAAAGCATGGGTCGTTTTTCTGGAAGGATCCAAAGATGAGAAGGAAGGAGTCGAGACAAATTGCAAATACCAAGAAGATGTTCTTTCAGCAAGACACCCTAATTATGCGGATACTCTGTAACCTCGTGGTAACGATAGTTCAGCTTGCCTTGATCTAGGTCTGTGGACCTTGAACCATTCAAACATCCGCAACCAAAATAAACATCCGCTGAAAAAGCACGTTCGTGCAAAAATACCCGTGGCCCACCAATAAACGCCAGTAGCTTGTGTATAAACGCCCGTGGAATATCAGAAGACCTTAGAGAAGCATCCGCAGACTCAAATATAAGGCCATGTTTGAAAACGATGCTTTTCACGCTGCAGATCCCCAAAAAACAACACGGAGGAAATTCCATGCCCCAAATCCGCAAATCCTAGTTGGCCAATTGGAGGCGCCCCAGGTACTTCTACCTGGACCCAAAAGTACGAAAATGGGACATGTTTTCTTCAAGGAAACACAGATCACACGTTGTAATGATCCATCTTTACTCATTACCCTCTGACGAACACATCACATGGAAGTGGATGGCATGGTCCCTTAGAAGACGACTTTCCGGGTGCCATCCACGTAACCATGTGATGTGTTCATCAGAGTGTAATTACCCATGATGGGATGGCTCCAACTGCGACAGAAAGAGACGTCGCTGGGACCTGAGGCCCTTTGCCATGTGGCATCGGACCTATCCATCTACGCAGGTGGGGAGCCGTGTGAGCCAGTTCTTCGAAGTTCCTGGAAGAGCTTCCAACTCAACGTCTGAGAGTTCCTGGAAGAGCTTCCAACTCAACGTCTGAGTCATTTTCTCATGTGATTTTTGTTGGAGTTGGTAGTTTACAGCTAAGTTCTTGGAATCTTTTTCGGAATAGCCAGTTTTTGGGAGTTGACAGAAGTTCTTGGAAGTTCTTCCCAGTTCTTCCACGACAAGTGAGCTTTTGTTGAAGTGGACAGCAGCTTGGGGTGACCATCACGACCCATGTTTGAGCCGCCAGTTCTTGCCTTTTTGCGCTGCAGTCGTACCTTCATTGTTGTACCTTCCAATGAAGGTATGACTTGACTCTCCATGACCCTCCTGGCACCAACGCCAATAGAATTCTCAGAAGGTACAACTGGAGCCTGTACTATAGGGTTAGCAAAATGGTGTTTGGCAGTTTGGCGCAGTTTGTTTCGTTAAGAAGCACGCGCCGTGCATGGTTCCTTGTAGCGAAACCACGTGCCACGTGCATGGTGCTGTGGACAATGGACATTGAACTATGTTTGAACAGTGTTGGATGTTGTGTTTTCCAGAGCCAAGTAGGTACTGGACTCTTTTTTGATCAGGTCCAGGTTCTGGCCTTTGCGGACCCCAAGAAGCCAGGGTTCTTGGTTTCCCGACTAATTACTACATTATTATTATTTGTCCTACCTTGATGGCTGCAAATACCTGTGCCACTGTGGACTTCCCGCGCCCCCCCCACCAAAAAAAGAACACCTTTGGTCGGAATTCCCTTACCGGATGGCTGATGGATCCATGAAAGAAAAAACCTCCCAACACCACTTAGCACGCCTCGTGCTCAGTCGGCGTGCTTCGTCTTCCCCATGGCCTTGGGAGTCCTTTGGTCTTGTGATGTCAGACGTCGCGCGGGTGGACACGACGGAACGGAGGCCGCTTTCGGGGACTGACAAGGGTCCAGAACGCAGGCCGCAGGTCTGTTTAAATGCTCATAGGTCGTGTGATTGGGTGTTGGCCCTGTTGATTCCTCATAGGTCGTTGCTGCACCCCCCGGAAACTGTAGGTTCCAAGTAGCAAGCATGGAATTGAAGGCAGTAAAAGACATACTGCGGCAGTGTGGCATCCTAAAGTTTACCAATAGCCCTTTCCCTCTCCAGAACAATCGAAGCATTCTGCAAGCGGTTTGGAAGATTAGTCCTTTTCCAGGTGGTTGGTTTGCTTGTTTGATTGGGGGGGCACTCCCCCACAATCATACGAGTGCCGGCCTTGCTTACATGACTCATCGGTAGCTCTTGCTTTGATCTTTGCACCGGCGGGCCGTTTGGGTGTCAAAAAGCAGCGCCAACCTTCCGCCAACCTGCCTCATCCTGCTGGTGGTTGTTCCTTTCGCCATGGGTGCGCACAAAGGAATCAAATTCGACGTTCAGAGCAGCTTGGTTGCGATCTCTGAGACATGCAGAGACTCAGAATGTAGATAAACATGGTAGAGATCAGTCGCAACTGGTCAAGTCCATTGAACAATACATCCCGCATCATCCCGCAGCATCAACATCATACTGTAAGTCATAATATTGATGGAAGATCCTTTTGCTACACATTCCGCGTCACCAGGTGTGGGACCGCATTGGACATGCATGCATGTCCCCAAATGGGTCGTGGGTCCACATGGGTGGTGTACTTGGGTGGTTTTCTTTTTGGGGGTACGCAGAAACACAGAATTCCCCCATGATGTTCCCACAAGGCATGCTTGCCAGTGATGCTTGGAAATCAGATTTGTCAACGGCCAGGGAAGCAGATGTGTAAGAAGGCGATCACGGGCTCGACTGCCGTGAAAGACAAGGAAGAGAGACTCAGCTGCACAGAAAGACACTTCAACATCCGACCTGCGGAATATGGCCTGCGGAACGACCATGAAATCCGAAAACCAAACATGGGATGGTCCACTTCCATGTTCCTTGGATGGAGCATCATTTTTTGCTGCAGCATGGTGCAACTGCTTGGAATACCTGTGTCTCTCCCAAAGACATGCAACTCATGCAACATGAGCATCACGAAGGGGATCATTAAGGGGATCACAGGTTTCTTTTTTCTGTGCCCCTTTTGCAACCTTTGTCGTACCTACCGCGCAGAACTCCGCCTGGATAAAACTTACCGGCTGCGAACACAACTTCGGTCAGTTCTTGGAGTGTAGGTTCAGGATGTTCGATCATTCCAATGGAACATCTTGATTGCGGTGCTCCACGGTGGAATCTTAACGATTCCTCAACATCAATCAAGCTGGCCCAAGATGTCAAGGACTATGCTATTCATTGCTATACAAGGACAATGCTGTCAGCCACGGCACATCGAGCCGGACCAATAGCATAGCCCCATTCACGATTCCTTGGTTCAGTCTCAGATCCCTTGGCTCAGTTTCAGATCCCTGGGCTCAGTCTCAGCCGCGTAGATCGTACGCACCCGATCCGCTGGTACGGCGCCGGGCTAACCCGGTGGCAACTTCCATCCAATCGACCCTGGAGTCAACCGCTTCAACCGCTAAGGTACCGGACATCACACCCGGTCATTCGGAGGGCCCCCTTCGAAGGTGAAGTTCACCGGCCAGCTGTGCCAGCTTACCTATTCTTCTTGTTGCTGGGACAATTGGGGGGGTTCGCCGGCTAAAATCCACCACCCCCGGTGAGACTGGAGAGAGCACCAGTCTGAGGAAGATCCTGCAGACCTTCAAAGAGTGGGACAAGGACGAGGGACGCCTCCGTTCTTGTCGTTTGGGTGTCGTCCTTCTACAACTGGGTAAACCCCGAGGGGGCGTGGCAACGCCCCGACTACAGACTACAACATGCAGAGGGTCAGAAACACCATGGCGTTTTAACAGGGGTTGTTGTGGGGGTTTCGTGTGGACGGTTTTCACACGGTTTGTTTCATGTGGACGACCGCTGGATGCCGATGTCGTCCGAGTACGTCGCGTCGTGCTGCGTCGGCAGGTGCGGATCGGATCGCGCGAAGGGTGGAGCACGGTGAGCCCGGAGAGGTCCAACAAGTGCGGTGCACATCCGAACGAAGGTCCCACGAAGGTCCTCACGGATGGGGAAAGCAGATCGTAAATCAGGTGTCACGGGAGTTCATGCGGTGATCAGTGATGAAGAATGATTTTGTTGGACGTACTGCATCAAACGACGGGAGTTCATCATGTACACAGTCAGGCTGCATTCGGCTCGTAGTACATCATAGTACCGTGCTTACCTTGACCTCAGGTCAACCACCCCAACTGATCGGTACATATGCCAAATGTACGATCGTCCCACGAGGTTTGTTCGGGAGATGAACCAAATTCCCTCGCGTTTGGCATTTGGAATCATTTGGAATCTCCCCATTGTACCATGACATCATGACATCGCCTCGAGGCAAGGAAGTACATGCAAATCTTGGCAGATGTGAGTCCAAGCGACGTTTTTGAGCCTTGCCCACCTGATCCCAAACGCGTGCCTTGTCCGCCTTGTCCGGAGGACAAGAATGGCTTCATCACCAAGGACGAGCTCACGGGCGTGTTGAGCTCATTGGGTTGCTCAGTGACCTCTGAGGATGTCGACACCATGCTCAAGGAGGCGACCACGTCGCGTCCGGGTGGCAGAAGCCGAACCTCTGTTGAAGGAGCTTAAAGACTCCCAAGAGGCTAAGAGATCTAAGAGCCATTTGGTGTAAAAGATTAAGTATATGTTTATTATTGTTTGTTAATATAAATCAAATCCATTTTGTGGATTATTGAGGTGCAAGCTTGTGGAAACTTGTGGTTCTAGGGGGCTGTGCAGCAAGTGTTTCTTTCTGATCTCCAGAGTGAAGGATTTGATTCTTCCATATTTTTCTTTCACCCTGTAATTTTGCCGGGGAATGTTTGCTCTCATGGAGCCTTTGTACAACAAGTGCCCAGAAAAGAGAGAGAGAGAGAGAGGGAGAGAGCAACAAATTGAAAAAAAACAACAACATAAATGCTGCTTTGTTCCAATGCACCCCCTCCTCGATGCAGTGGGCCACTTGGGTCGCCATGCTCAAACAGGATGCATTCGCTTGTACCCTAAAAAGCCCCACCCACGGTGCGCATGACACCCACAGTGCGCAGTGGGGCACGAACGTGGAAGATCCACAGTGCGCGTGTGTTGTTTTCTCGCCATCGGGATGATGATGAATCCAGGTTAAGGTCTCTGTATATGTAAATGTATATACTACCTGAAGTATTATATGCTGCTTCAGTGTTGGATGTCACTTCCACTCCCATCGTTTTCGAGGTAAAGCCTTAGACCTCAATTGGAAAACACCTCGTGCTCGACATGGAGAGCGATTGTGACAGCTGCGTTGCTCAGGCAGATCTCGATTCAGATGGCAAGATCAACTATGAGGAGATTTGGTGACTCCCTTTTGCTGATCATCACATATTGTGCATATATACCATAGTATATAATGATATGATATAAATCATGTTGTATGTAATATATGTTTAACATGTTCACTCAATATACAAAGTATATATATATATATTAATATACATAATTGTATACGAGCAATCTCTACACTTCCGAGCTCTAAGGTAGGCATCGGAGGCTCATCCGAACACTTAATGTACCCTTTTTTCTCCACCGGACTTCCCACGTCTTGGACAAGACATCGCAGATGACAGGAGATGGTGCACTGGCTTTGCCGCGCACCGCATTTGGAAGAGCCACTCGGAATCCGCAATTATTTTTAAGGCCGTTTCAAGGACTTACCCAGGAAAAGTAGATACCGTGCCCAACCTTTTTGGGTGATTGGTTTCCCGGCACCCAAATCCAACAGGTGGATAAAGGTTAACCTGTATTTTCCAGGGGAAGGCTCGGGAAACATGGGATACTGGGGACTTGCTGCTGCCTTTGAGAGAAAGGAGGGTGGTGACTCCTACCGGAGAATTCTCCCGAGGTGAGATAACTGAAGCTTTTTGCTTGGGACCTGTACCTTTTTAAGGCATCCGCATGTGGCGTGTGGGGCAGTGGGCAGGTACTTCCTTTGCTCCGTGGATATTTTCAAGCGAAACTTCCTCGAAGTGGACACTGAGATGAAGAAGATGCAGTCGGAGATGAAGGACTTGCAGAAGCACCTTGGCTGCAATAACTTCCAATTCACCATTTTACCCATGATAGAGTCAGGTCGTCATAGTGGGCATGAGGTTGCAGTTGTTTTTGTGGGTGGAAGAAAAAGCAGCCGCCCAAGATAAGAAGATGTGCGTTGACGGGGCTGCAGTTGTTGTTTTTAGTTGTTGGCAATGCCTTTGATAAATACTTAGTAAAAATAGAACCAAACTCCCCGGGTAGAACCACCGGGAGGAGCCAGGCCCTGGTAGCCAGTGCCATTTGACAGTTGATGTATTAATACATTCCACCATAAGAAGACATAAGAATATGTAAAAGCATTCTTGTGTGTGTTCAACATTCATCTAGAGTCACCATAGTTGGGCAAGGAATTTGCCATTCCAGGTGGTGTTCGATTTTGTCCGTCCGCCGTGCTGTCCTGCGAAGACCGTTAGTTATAGAACTTGCCTTTGAGTGGCCTCCAGAACAGCGACGGCGGGGTATGGATGTCAATTTATGGGCTTTGATTCGGTAAGATCTGCGGATGATCCCGAGCCACTTCGACACTGAACCTATCGTAACCCATAATTAGGGGGGCTGACCTGAAGAGCTGACGGCATCTATATAGAGTATCCACAGTCTTTGTCAACCGCTTTCATATTCGTGGCTGCATGTGTGGCACACGTTTTGCAGAATGAATGGGGGCATTTGGAAGATGAGCAGCATAAGCGCCGAGTATGGTTCGTAGGACTTCTGAACCAGTATGTACAATGTCAGTTTTGATT